GAGCGCGCTACCGCTTGAGCCACATCCCCAGCCCTATTTTATTTATTTTTATGTGGTGCTAAGGATCAAACCCAGGGCCTTACACACACTAGGCGAGTGCTCTACCACTGAGCCACAACCTCAGCCCCTCCTATTCTTTGTGGCAAGTATATTCCCAAAGATCCCAATTTCTTGCAACAGGATATATTAAAAGTGATGTTATCTTTGACCTTGTTACAATGCCTTTATTAATTTATTTAGCAAACACCAAGAACTTAACTGTGTGCCAGCTAGAAATTTTTTTTAAAAATGTGTAAGGCAGCTGGGTTCACTGTCACACACCTGTAATGTCTCAGCAAATTGGAGGGCTGAGGCAAGAGGATCATGAGTTCAAAGCCAGCCTCAGCAGTTTAGTGAGGCCCTAAGTACCTCAGCAAGACCCTGTCTCTAAATAAAATATAAAAAAGGACTAGATATGTGGCTCAGTGGTTAAGCACCCCTGGGTTTAATCCCTGGTACAAAAAAAAAAAAAAAAAAAAGAAAGAAAGGCCAGGTTCTTGTCCTAGTTCTCCTATTTTTTTTTCCTGGTGCTGAGGATTGAACCCAGGGCTTTGTGCATGTGAGACAAGCACTCTACCAACTGAGCTATATCCCCAGCCCCTACCTCGTGTTTGGCAGATGTCAGCAAGTGGACTACAGGGCATTTTGAGATGGGCGAAAGGGCACTATGCACTAGGTGTGGAGAGATGCAGGGGAGTGAGGGCTCTACCGCAGGGGCTGGTTAGGGGGACAATCAGAGAAGCCTTCATGGTGGAAATCACTGTTTTGGTCTGGATTTAGAAGGGTGAGATGTGGTCAAAAGTTGACATGGAGGACAAACAAGGTAAGCAGAAAGAATATTATTGCTGAGATTTGATGACAATCAACAGCATGGCTTTCAGGAAAGGCAAGGATAGGGTAGGGTGTGGCTGGGGCATAAAAATGTTATAGATACTGGTAGGATATGAGCCTGGGGAGAGCCTTGATTAGAGAAGTAGACTTTGTTCTGCAGGTGACAGGGAGAATGAATGCCAGCGTAAGCTGGGAGAGGGAATCACATGGGAGCAGCTGATTTCCCGAGGCTGCTCAGGAAAGCAGGATGCATGACCATTAGATGATTGTGATAGTTCAGGATGAAGAGAGTGAGGGTGAGGTCATGCCTGGGATAGATTTGAGAGTTTCAGAAGTCTTATTTAGCAGGACTGGCTGACTGGCTGTGGACAGATGGAGAAAGGGACGCCAAGCTCATGACAGCAGTGGCTGCCATGACTACCAGGTGCTTCCTCCACAGAAGGCACTTGTGTGCATCACCTCATTTAATCCCACATCAGCCCTGTGGGAGGGATTGCATTGTTGTCAGCAATTTTTTTGTGTGGGGGTACTGGGGATTGAACTCAGGAGCACTCAGCCACTGAGCCACATCCCCAGCCCTATTTTGTATTTTATTTAGAGACAGGATCTCACTGAGTTGCTTAGTGCCTTGCTTTGCTGAGGGTGGCTTTGAATTTTCAATCCTCCTGCCTCAGCCTCCTGAGCCACTGGGCCTACAGGCCTTGCGCCACTGTGCCCAGCTTGTCTGCATTTTATGGGGGTGGGGGAGTTGGAGCCCAGGGTAGTCCATCCCAATGACCAGCTAGTATATGGTGGTAGTAAGTGGTGGAGTTAGGATCTGAACTGGAGGAAATCAACGCCCTAGCTTCTCCATCATCCTGGATCACCAATTCTAAGTGGTTGGGAAGTGAAGCACCTACCCAGAAACCAGTTAATGAGTGGTGGATTGAGGCCTGAAACCTGCTAGAACCACTTACTATTCCAAAGAGTGCACAGTCAGGCTCCTGTGTGCCATATCAGGCCATAGATATATTGTGTTTGGCTCATATTTTTAAAAATATTTATTTATTTATTTTTGGTACCAGAGACTGAACCCAGGGGACTTTTCCACTGAGTTACATCCTAATTCCTTTTTTTTTTTTCCTTTTAATTTCAAGATAAGGCCTTGCTAAGTTGCTGAGACTGGCCTTGAATTTGTGATCCTCCTGCCTCAGCCTCCTGAGCTGGATTACAGGAATGTACCACTGCACTCAACTCAAACAGTATTTTAATACCACTTTTAGAACTAATTTCTAACTTTTAAAAATGTGGAGATTCACATTAACAACTCAGTTTCTGGCTTTTCCTGGAAAGTGAGGAGATCTAAATACACTGGCACCATGCAGCCTCCAGACAGAGCTGTCTGTCCACATCCTTCAGATGGGACCTGTGCTCCCTCATCTGCCTGAAACCCACCAGCCTATCTGGGGCCTCTGCCCACCTCCACAGGCCCACAGGTGGGCTCCACCACAATGTGTGCTGCTCAGCTGGGATTAGATGCCAGGCTGTCCTTTAATCCCTGTCAAGCCCTGGTCTTTATAGATGGCCAAATGCCCTTTCCAAGTTTTAGGGAATATAAGGCAAAAACAACCACGGTTTTACTTTGTTTGCTTTTTACCGTCATGCTGTGGGAATTGAGAAAAATTCAATACCCACCCATGCTTGAGTGCCCAGGGCTGGAGGAGGGTTAAATGTGGTTCCTGCAGGACAAAGGTGAATGGTTGTAGTTCCTGAAACCAGCACAGGTTAAAATGCCAACAAATAGCGCTCAGAAAATGGCAAAAGTCATGGCCTATTATTAGTATGCAAAGTATGCTGTGATGTTTTTGTTTAATTTGTAAGGAATCATTTGCTTGGATTTTGAGCTATGTACTTTGGATGTGTTATAAGGAAGTTTTGAGGGGGATGTGTGTGTGTGTATGTATGCGTGCCCACATGGGACAGTGTTTGTATATATGGGGTCGGGGGGCCACAGCTTACATAGCTTAGAATTTCTTATAGGTGCTCAGTTCCAGAAGAACTGTTCTAACAGTTCTTCTTCCTTTACATGCACTGCACCTAGGCATTAAAATAAATATTTTAAACTAAGAAAAATAGTAACAGGATTTGAAACCAGATGGCATTAGAAGAGACAGACAGAGAGAGAGGAAAGAGGGAGAAAGAAAGAGAAAGTCCAGGAAATATTTCCTTTAGAAAGTTTTATGATTTATTAAAGGTTGAAAACATGTTTCTGTACCATTAAGTTAAAATGTAAGGCTTGGACTGGCAAACAGGCATTTGTCAAAAATGTTTTGTCAATAATTATTTTAAGATATAACATATAATTATTTTAAGATATAAATTATTTTAAGATATCCCATGGCTGTGGTCAGTTTGGACAAATGACCAATCTGCAATCTGTAAACTGCCATCAGATGCAAGAAGTCCACCGACACTAGAGCTGCCCAGGTTTGACTCCTAGTCTGCTCTTTGCACTCCGCCTGACAACCTTCCCTCGTGCCTGGCTGCCTGATCCAGGCACTGGAGGAAAGTGAATGTTGATGCTGGCCATGAGGTTTTCCAAGGCCACTGGGCACAATTCTGGGGTTGCCACTGGGTCTCAGAGTCTCATTGTTTTGCAAGGGTCACTGCTCTGTCACACCACACTGCCTCAACTTGTTAGAGGCAAGCTTTCCCCTGGGAACGAGAGTTAATCAAAAAGTTCCTGTTGCACATCAATTTGGTCCTGGGTGTAATTTCTACTCAGATTACATGGATCTTGTAAGGTCACGCTCTGCTGCTCCCTGGACTCTGACCGCTGCCCGGCACCTTCTCCTTCCTCCTCAGAGACACCCTTCCCTGCCAAGAGCAGGCCTAGGGTGGGACCTAGACATGGGCTGTGGCCAATTCTTCTGTTCTCAGATTGTTTCTTGACAGATGCCCAAAACAAGAAGCTGGGGATGAGAGGAACCCAGGCAAGCTCTGATCCTGAACTTGGATATAGTTCCCTAACAACTGGCATTTTATCTCAGTCACATTATAATTTTATTTTGTTGTGTTGCAAAAAAACCTAGGTTCCTCAAAAGATTTGGCCAAGTTCATAGCAAAGTTCTAGTACTTATTCATTCATTTAACACAAATTTATTAAGTACCTATTATATTTGTCAGATACCATTCCAGGAGTCAGGATTATTATGACAGAGAACAAAACAGATGAATGGCCCTGTTCTCTTGGAGCTTACATTGTTATAGAAAGAAAAATGATGAATGAGTAATATGTTCTAAGAAATTTGAAGAAAAATTTGTAATCCCAGTGACTCTGGAGGCTGAGGCAGGAGAATCATATTTGAGGCTGGCCTCAGCAATTTAGTGAGGCCCAAGCAACTTAGCAAGACCCCATCCCCAATACCAGACCAAAAAAAAAAGAAAGAAAGAAAAAGAAAAGAGGGGCTGGGGTTGTGGCTCAGTGGTAGAGCACTTGCCTAGCATGTGTAAGGCATTGGGTTCAATTCTTAGCACCACATATAAATAAAGATCCATTGGCGACTAAAACCTAAAAATAAAAATAAAATTAAAAGAAAAGAATGAAAGATATTTGAAGAAAAATCAAGCAGGGTAAGAGAAAGAGAGCACAATAATGGAGAGGTGGGCTGCTCTTAGGCTTTTCTGATGGGGAGACTTGAAGCAGAGTGGGAAGGAGGCCAGGTGCTGCCAGGGAACTGTCTGGAGGAGTCCTTTCCAGGCAGGGCAGCAGGAGGGCATAGCTTCCCAGCCAGGTGTGTTAGTGGCCTGGTGAGTTGCAGCTTCTCACTGACTGTGTCCTGGCTGGTCCTTGTCTGCCTGTGGTGGGCTTGTTGGGAGGAACCAGTGGAATCATTTATGTGAAAACATTTGTATAAACATCAA